AGTAGGAAGTTGGAAGGTAGAATGCATGGTTGTTGTCGTATGCCAGATTGGAGCCAATATGTTGATCGACCTGTCTGCGAAGGTATCGGATGTCGTGTATGGCCATGACATTTATAGACATGGACAAATTTGACAGGCTTGTTACTCCTTGTGTGGCATCATTTTGCTGTGATTTAAGCTTTCTCCCTGTCAGGACAGGCAAACGTCTACTTTCGTGAGAATGGTTCAGATTGTTCTCAAGGAACCAGTAAGCATTGAGAAGCAGCCTGATCTACTCAAGTAACCAACAAACCCACTAATTCGTCTTTTTGCAATATAAGGCTCATATGCGGCTAATATAAACCTTAGCATGCTCTATGTTAGCCGTGTATTGCCTTATATTGCAAAAAGGAGAATTAGCGGGCTTGTTGGTTACTTGGGTGGTCCTGTTGAAACAGTAGCAACGGGCACCGTTCTTTAGCCTAGTTCAATTATAAATAAGCATGTGATTCAAAAGCCCCAACATATTCCTAAATCATCCATTTTTATGACTAATGTTAAGGATTTAGAACCTAGCTTATGCGAAATTAGTAGAAAAAAGAAGTTTGAAATCGGAAAAGCACTGTATAACATACAAACGTTGACAACATGTCGAGATGCTTACAATCCCCTTAAGGTGATAGAGCATGAGCATGATTGACCGCCCACGGTTGCTACTCTGTTATTGCCAGATCAGCTGTAATTACACAGAGAACCAATAGACGATGCTTGGGACTAGCAATCATCCTCTATGTGTAAAAACTGGTGATCTCAAACTAGGCAATACCAGCGCGGGCCGCGCCCGAACACAGGTCAAGAAAGGAATGGGTAGGAATGTGTTGACGTGACACCCGCTTTGATGGAAGCCGAGAATATACTTCCACGAGGAATCACTGGGATATTGGGTAAGAGGGTTGGGATTGCAGCAGGGTTCGTTTTGGTAAACGATAAGCTGAATTGATGTCCTAACGATCGTATAACGCGAAGGAGCTTGGGATTGAAGCCACAATCTTCTGCTCAGTAAGCAAAAACGTTTGCCACTAGACAAATGAGCTCCTTTTTGATTATCGAGTTGTTGCTATTAATATGCAGTCATATTAACAGATAAAGCAATTGACGAATCTTGAATATGGATGAACCTGAGATTAGACGATGTTCTCCTCAGTAAACAAAAATGATCGCTCTAAGGCCACCGAGCCCCTCATATCACATCATACCTTTACTCGAGCTGTTGTTACCATTTAAGCCCGGCACCGACGACAACAAATCTCGCAAAATACACGATAAACAAGCGATTTGACTATAAATCTTTTTAATATAAAAGCACCTGGGACCGAGTTCTTCTGCTCAGTAGGCAAGCCACTGCAACCGACAATCATTCAAATCCGAAATCTAAAATCTACGAAAAAGCACTTAGACCTTCATCAAGTTCCACTTTCACGAGACGTTCAATGCTTCGATTTGCTCGTTACGCATTGTTCAGGCTATCGCGCCTCTTACAGTCTCACATCATAATAAGCTATGACCGACGTAACGATTGTTAAGGTCCCATTAATCAAAAACTAATCAGCGGAATACGCTTAAAAAATCCGAATGTTCACTGTAGTCACGCTGTTTAGAACAATAGCTTCAGAAACAATCATAAACTTGTCTCAACCCCAATCCGGCGCAACCGGCACCCCGCCAACGCATGCCAACACCACCACCAGATAGGGGAAATTTTCCCCTACCTGATAGCGGCGCCAGCACGCGTGACCGAGCGAACAGCCACACCAAACCGACCATCAAACGCACTGTCCACAAAAGCAGATACGTCCCCTCGAAAAGGTAATCGAGAAAAGTATAAAAACAATCTTCAACGTGTTCACCAAATGTTTTGTAACAGATTGACCAAAGTGAAAAAAAAATCAGAAACGAAAAAAAATATATTTGCTGTTAAATTAATCCACGCGACCGTTATAAAATAAAAACTTTTTATACTGTTAATTGAGATTATTATTCAATCTTGAAAAAAGGAGGGGGCGAGCGAGTTAGGGTTACGATATATTAGGAGGAGTGCACAATACACCGATTCATTTTTTTCTTATTTGTATTCATAATAAAGATCTTTCATATGCCACTAATTTTACTAAAATCTATAATCTACGAAAAAAGTTTAAAAACGAACGTTTTTTTTCTAGTTATTTTCACCTGTTCGGGAAGAGGTAGCAAAACAAAAAAAAATCATAAAACCTATGGGCTAATAACTGAGTAATAGCAAAGTAAGCTATTGGCATATCTCATGAATAACAGAGCTTTTGAGCTTCACAATAAGAAATCATATTGAGCAATATGCAATATGATATATGATAAAAAAAAACTACGGTACGGATTCAACGAGACTTGAAGGTCGTTTGCGTGACTGTCTCGTATGCTGACCACTCAGTTATATCTTCTTGTTCAAGGTAGGAGGAAAAAGGTCAACAGATTCTTCGGTTGTCATGGTTATACTTTTCTTATTACATGTTAGAAGTGTCAGGCTGAAGTTCCGGGTGGGGATACAAAATATAAAAATATCAAAGTGTGCTAAGGTATCTCATAGAGATATTGGTTTGTTGTTCAATCAATTAAATCAATAACGTAGTAAGAACTCATGCTTTTATCATAACAAAATTTGTTATTTTTACATTATTTTGAAATATTTATTTCAGTTTTGAAAATATCATTGCAATTGCAATTGTAAATTATGCTCTGACAGCAGAGTAAGCTATTAAAATGTTATAGCACACAACATACCAATATCATAATAAGATATTGATAGAAGAATTAGATATTATGTTGCTCTGGTTTTGATATTCACCTCTACCCGGCTAGTTTCCAATATCAGAAAAATTAAAATTTTTAATAAGCTTTCAAATAAACATAAGATCAAAAATCTTGAAAATCAGATTTTTTGATATTAAAGTTTTTAACAGTTTTTTTTTTTAAGAGTTTTGAGTCTTTTTGACTCAGACGTCATTTTGATTAGATCCCGGGTAGAAGGGAATACCAAAATCAGAGCAAAATAATATCAAATTATAGTATCAATATATCTTATTAATTAATAAATAGCTTATTCTGCTATCAAAGCATAATTAACTATCATTATGTTATTTTAGTATCAGATTGATAGCAGAATAAGCTATTACTAAGCAGATAGCAGAATAAGCTATTACTAAGTAATAAAATAGATTAATTTAAACAACATATCATGATATAATAATTTGCTTCGATTTTTGCTATTCTTTACCCGAGCACTAACTAATATCTCGATACCTTAAATTGGTATGGATGAGCCTGACATAAGAGGTAAAATACAAAAAAATAATACAAAAAAAAAATCTTACAATATTATGCAAATGCAATACCAAAACAATACCACACAATTTTTGTTATTTAGAAAGTATTTTGCATGCAACTTTTTGGTTTTATTCTTTGGTATTTTATCTCTTATGCCATGCTAATCAACACCAAATTTTGGTATCAGGTCAGAATAAGGTATTCACAAGTTATTTTCTCCTGCTCGGGTAAGGACTGTTCATGTTATGAACCGGACAACAAAAATAGTCTGTAACTTTTCCATGTTTCATTGTATTTTTATTGCTTATTCAAAATATGTTAAGATTAAGATCCATACAAAAATATTCATTGCTTAAATTAATGATAATCAAACGCAAAACTTCAGAATGAACCATCGAAGCAAATATTCTCAAAAAAATGCATTCACAGTTTCCTACTTTGTTCAAAAAATGTCGTGAAAAATACCAAAACCATGTTGTCCCATCCATAAGAGCCCATGAAGAAAAAACTCTTCGATAGCATTTTTCTTAGCTTGCTGTTTTAACGAGTGGGACAAACATGCTGAAAAGGGCAGTATCGGTAGAGCTTAAAGCTTGCCGAAGAAAGCATTAAACTATGTAGCAAAATATAAAAGTTAGGACTGAAAGTGCATGTCCATTTTATAACTTGAACAGGCCGTAGATATGGCAACGACTGACTTTGCTATAACTCAGTTGTGGTCCAATAGGGGAAACGTTAGAAGCGTTAGGTTCCTATAGTTGTGCATGGAGACTCAATGCACAACTATAGGAACCTAACGCTTCTAACGTACCGCAACTATAAGAGCGTTTACCCTAGTTTATTTTTTTTTATAATTTTGGATATTTTACCTTTAATATCAATTAAACAATAGTAATTTCTGATGTTCTGTTCCCCAATTTTAATAATTAAATTTGCTGTTGATTTGATATTTTCTATTTTTTCTACTTGGGATGAGTCGTTTCGTGCTATATGGTTTATTGAAAAATATCGAATACGCCATTTTGAAAAATTAGGCGTGTGTCGAAAAGGCCGAATTCCAGCAGAAACATGGTTTATTGGTCCTATCGAACATGTATGCAAAGTTTCATGGACATCGGAGAGTACGGAGAGTAAGTTTGATCGATTCGTCAGTTGGCGTAGAATTGCTCTTCTGGTAAAGAGTTTATAGAAGACATGCTTTTGATTTTAATGAAAAAAAAAAACAAAATTAATATTGTAGAGCTTAAATTAATAACATATGATTTGCACACGACTGTGAAAAAATGCAACAGATTAATTTTGATGAAAATTAAAATCATATCTGCGCAACACACCGATAAATCAACATTATATTATTGTATTTATGTTTAGAAATACCACTGAATAGCAAAAAGTCTCATTTTAGACGATATGAGAATCGGAGAAGGTTTATAAATTCTAGGTCTGTCATTATGATTTACTCCTCTCGCTTCTTATTGTTTACAACTTGTTAAGGCCATATCCAACATCCAGATAAACATTGATCCCTTTCACACTGTCATACTCCCGGCAGAGCTCTAAGCATCCAACTGCTTGAGCTTGTTGGAATAGTAAATTTTCCCCGAAGTGAAAACTCATGTTCGGATTGATCCTGAAATAAACAGAAGTAGAAAAAAAAAACTTACATATCCAAACGTTGCCCTTGGGGGTGTCCTCCAGAATCCGTATGTTGAAATCGTACGCAGCCAGGTCCTTCCGCAGGCTCATCGCCTTATCGTAGGTGAGGGCACATTTTGGCACCAGAAACAAACTGTCCAACTCGAAAATATCGCCACCACTGGAAGCCCCACCCAGCACCGAACTTTGGCTCTTCGTGCCCAGCACACTATTGTTGCTATAGTACAGACTGCCACCGTTCGTTATAATCGAATATCCATTAGCAGCCCGATCCGGTCCTCCTCCGGGGGATCCACCGGAAGAGTACCCGTTAGCACTCAGGTACGGACTGTTCCGGCTGCGAATCAACCGATTGTTGTTATTACTGCCGGAACTGGCAGCACGACCTGCACTACTACTGCGGACTTGAACCGTTGTGGCGTTCTGACTATGATGATTGTGATGCTGGTGGCTGGTACCGTGCTGTTGATGATGATGGTGATGGCTGGCACTGATATTGGTAGCTGTACAACGTTTCACTGATATCATAGCTTCTGCCGGGGAGGCTCAAAATTTGCTCGTTGCTTCTCCACCTGCTGGGCACACCTCGCAGCAACAACAACTTTGAACTTGAGCGCACCTGAGATCTACACCACTCCGGCAACATACACGCGCGCGCGCTCACATACACTCACAACACCCACTTGGCTTCTTCCGAACTGAAATCTTACTTCATTGCTTTTGAATTCACTTATCTTTTTGTTGTTGTATTCGCTCCTCGCTGATGTAGGTTATCACAGATGATTGCTTTTTTTGAGATTTTTTTATGCTCGTTTTGAGATTCGCACTTTTTTTTTGTTATTGCTATTTGTCGGTCATTTTCACTGCCGTTTATTCGCTCTCGCTCTCCCTGCCTGCTTGCACTTGGAGGAACTGTAAAATAGAACAATTAGCTCTCGCTTGCTGGGGCCGGGGCCGAGGCCGGGGCGGGATTTGATCAGGAGAAAACTTTTCCCCGAGTGAGCGCCTCATTGATCGACGGAGCGTGGAAAATTTGTGCACGGGTTGAAGAAGAAGAAGCGGCACCTGGGCAACGGAAAGGGTGTTGAGCTACTTTCGAGGGTGCATTTTGGGAAAAGGATTGAGCCCCAAAAAGCGAAAACCTAACGCGATCGAACTAAACCCAAAACACGCACAGACCCCCCCCCCCCCCCCCCAGTAGACTGAATGAAAGAGGTAAAAGGGGCGGAAGGCGTTGGAGGCGAAGACAGGTGAACGGGTGGATTGACGACGGTGGAGATACACCGGTGGTCAGCAAAATATTTGTTCGATGGGGTGCCAAAACGTGGTGAATAGAAAATGTAATTTGCACAGTTGTTCATCGGTTTAAAGGTAGTAGGAGATTTTATTGTTTATTAATTTAGTTGATAAGGCTCAAACGACTTAACTTTACAGAGCCGAGGATTCTTGTTCACTATACAAAACATCGTAAAATTATAGTAAAAAGATACAACACAATGAACATTTTATCTTCCGCTATCCAATAAGCCTTCTCCATCAGAACAGGATCCGCTTCCAGTGGTTTCGTTGTATGGCAGTATCGCCAACGTGGTTATCACTCACACACTCATCACGAAACGGTTGCTTTCCAAAGTCGACGAAGCATCGACCGACAGAACTGCTGATGAAGAACAATGAAGAAGACCACACAATGGTTGCTGCCGAGTAAACAGACGATCGCGTGACACACATCGAGAGTGGCCTGCTTCTGTCGACAGCGGAGTGAACACTGAGTCAGGAGATAGTATTGAATAAGCGATACCATTTTAACTTATAATCTGTATGAAAGGCCTTATAGCTTTCAATTCAGACTATCTGTATCTTTCAAATGTGGTTGTTGTTTCCGTGTTTTCAACACCTATAAACCAAACAAATCGAGACTTTTACCGAACAGTTCAGCTACTGAAAAGTCGGAAACAAAATTACTTGGATTTTTGCGGATTACTTAAGACTTAGAAATTTGTCTCATAAAATAGCGGAAATAACTCAAGGATGAATTTTCAAAACAACGTATCTGCTTTTGTAAACAAAGCTCACTCACGAAAACTAAATACAGTTTCATAGTCAGAGTATTTAACTCTAACAAACAATTAACATTTACGGTTTTATCATGGTTTTGAAAAGGTTTTTATAAAGCTTAGAATGGACTTGAAAACCATAATCAAACCGACAATATTGCATGGGATTGGACAATTAAGTAGCTTTACAATGGTGCATGTAAAGAATCCAATAATAAACTGATTCAAACTCTTGAAAATAGACGCTTGTTTTCCAAGTCCACGAAGAACAGGGAGGCAATGCACACCATATCTTACAACTTTAGATGAAGGGTAAACCACTTTCCTATTCGATATTCGAGAAAAATCAGAAGAACCTTTCGGGAAAAGACAGAAGAAACGTGCAATAGTAGTTCGAATCAAGGGTTGAAACGGTTGACGTTTTTTTACTACACTCGCTTGTTGTCGTGCGCGATAATCTGTTTGTATTCGTATACTCATGCTCTACCGTTGTCTCTCTCACACTACACAAACGGTAGAATAAAATTCGAGCAAAAAGAAAAGTATCAAATAACTTTCATGTGACATGTGTGATTTCGTTCTAATTCCTCAATTTGGTGTAAATTTAACCACTTCTGATCAGAAATATCATTACTATGACATCTTTGCTTGATATTTCCAGAATTCACACAAGCACAACATCATCAACTCTTATTATGAGAAAAACTAAAATACACACATTCGAGACGGTCTTTTGTCTCTGTCGCCACCTGTCATATGACATTTTAGTTTGGTACTGTGTCGGAGGCAAAGGCAGTCGATTATCACAGAAATTGTGTCGACTACTGTGACCGCTTACAAGACTGGTTCGAATAGAGGGTTCCAGAGAAAGCCAAATCAGAAAAACAACCGGACGAAGATGGAAAAAGTGTAATGGAGAGTTTTTTTTCTAAGCAATTGAAAAAGAAACCAAAAAGCATCTTTAACAACAACTTGAGCATCACTGGGAAACTAATTCTCTAAGCTAACCAGATTTATAATCATTCAATGAAAAACTAGAATACTCAATAATGCCACTTTAGGCATTGATTGTCCAATAACCCATAACTCAACATTTAATCATAGCCATTGCTCTCCAAGCAATCAAGAATTATTCTATCCAAGCAAGATCATATTCCTGGAATCTCATTGATTGAGTGGTTATTTTAAGCACATAATCAGTAACTAGAACCACAAGTATTAAAAAAAATATTTTTCTCTTAACTCTGTACCATTCTTGCATTTATACGAAGACTTTTAAGCCCAGAGGTTTGATTTTAATAGAACCAACTAGAAGTATCCACTTGAAAATTAATTGTGTTCGACCCAACTAGGATTGGCATCCATTAAGAGATGCACTATTCCATTTGGTGGTTAACACCCACCAATTATATTGTGAGACTACCCTAGTAACATTGCAAGTTTTATCAAGATTTTAAATCATTCTACAAGTCTAAACCATGATCTACAGAACCCTTATAAAAACCCAAACTGTTACTTGGGTAGTGAGATCAGTCATACTTTTAAGTAATAAGAGAGGATTAAGACATATTAAAAGATTTTCCTAAAAATCTCTGATTTTCCAGGCCCAAAATTTAATTCTCTGGTTTATCCTTGTCGTCGACATCCTGTGTATGAAATCTTAAACCTGGAAAAATCCTCTGAACACTGGACGTAAATTCAATATCTCAGACATGGATAAATTTTCTAGATTCTATGACATAAAATGTTTTCAAAATTCTAAAATTGAAGAAAACATTGAAAATGCCAAACATCGGACATCGAAAAACTTTTGAGATTGCAAAGTTAACAGAACATCACGGACAATTATCACGATCTTGGAGTTGACAAAGGTATTGCAAATTTGATGAGATATCAAACAATTTTTTTTTCGTATTCCGTAAAATATAAGATTTACAAACGGGAAGAAACATTCAAGATTCTATGAATTTTGATTAACAAATTTCGATAAATATAGGTATAAAAACATATTTTGAGGTTACCATAAAATTTCAAGTTTTCCCGGTTCAGTGGCCTAATGGCCACCGGATTTAAATCAATAAACTGCCGGATTTTCCAGGATGCTCAAAATATTTGTCTTGTTTTCTTATAAACAGCAAAATATGGTAAAAATAAATACTGGCATGCCTGATTTACGCAATAGATGTCGCTAAAAATAGTAATTTGATTTTATTTTTAAGGCAAAAAATCCGGAAAATCACCTCAATTGAATAAAATCCAGAATTTTGATTTTTTTTTGTATTTAAAAATGGCATGGGACGATCCATACAGTACGTAGCATATTTTGAATAAAATGTTAAACCCCTTCCCCCTCCCCTTGTTCTGCAATAGATTGTCAAAATATTTTTCGAAATTTATATATTTTTTTAAGCTCGAAATTTGAAACATTTTTAAAAGACTCTCCTTTGGTTTGTTTTCCGCCAATCTTGTTTTCCGAGCTCAGCACCAATGCTACCAACGCCAGGGAGGCAGCTCCTACACCTGGATCCTACCTATCGACTCATCAGCTCATAAACCGGGGACCAACGGCTTTACTTCCCTCCTCCCTTTACTGATCAGAGATGTTATGCCTTAGAACATTCCGGCGGCACCGACTGGGATTGAACCCAGGCCTGCTGGGGTGAGAGGTAATCACTTTTACCACTACACCACCGGCGCTGCTATTTTAAAAGACTCTGATACACGCAACATTTTCGAAAGGCACTGGCCCAGAGCCGATGCTGGTGAGTCATTGAACCGAAAGTAAATCTAATATATTGATAAAAGGATTTTCTTTATGAAGATTATCAAAGGTCAATTAGATTCTTGTGAACTTTTCGAAATTTCAGACTTCAAAAAACTTAAATTTTTAATATGGTGTTATTTTTAAGGTGTCAGATGAAACAAGAAATGTAAATCAAGAACTAAGATTAAAATTAAGGATTCTAATACATTTGAAGAATTGTCTGGATAATTTTGATGAGATTGCCAAATGACTTTTGAGAAGAATTGTAATTCTCTAAAATTCACTCTCTTTTGGATTTCCGAGGACAATTCTAAAGTCCTAGAAGAAATATTCAAAATTATTTCCAAAAAAAATGGAATAGCGTTCCAATAGCAATTTTCTATTTAAAGGAGAGTTTCATGAGAATTCCATGAATATTTTAAGAGATTGTCACAACATAATTTTAATAATAACTTCAAGAGAATTCTGATGAAACTTCCGATGCAATTTTCTAAGGTAAAATCCAAGGAAATTTTGAACAATACTTTCCAAATTACCAAGAGATTTCTGCGGAATATTTCAAGGGAATTGTAAGAAAAACTATGGAGAAAAATTAAAGGAAATCAACGCAGGGATTGTAAAGAATACGATGATATATGTAGAGTGAGTTTTTAAATTGTTCTGCAGAGAATTTCGAATCTGTTATGAAGAAACTTATTGGGAAATACTGGAGAGAATCATAAGATTATTGAGGGCAATCCTGAAAGTACTAGTCACTAGTTCAAATGCCATACCGGACAAGCTACGAATGGCTATATGTATGTAGGAAAAGGGAAAATTACAAATAATAATGTATTTAAAGTGAAGGATAAGCTACGAATGACTATAATACAAAAAAAAATCTTGGAATGCAATTTAAAATTATCAGAAGAAAATCTTTAAGAAATATCCAAAGGCATCCTAAGCATCCGAAGAAATAATTCAGTTAATTCAGATATTGAAAATTGAACAAGATTCCGTTCACAGAAATTCAAGTCCAAGATTAAGAAATTTTATCAAGATTCTGAAACTTTGATCAGATTCAATTAAATCATTTAAGAAATTGTTGGACG